AGGCATTGACCAGATGTTCAACCTTAGGCACCCACCCTTCACCACCACAGAATAATTCTCCAAAAGCATTTAATCACTCACCCTCTCCCCCCTCAATTAGAGCAGCCCCAAGATGGTTAGGTTTCTGGAGATGAATATAGGGGTTAGCTCTCGCGCTATAAATTTCAACCCCCAGGAATAGCCAGGAAAAAGCACTGAAGGTTCTTTAACTCAAGGAACTAAATTGCTCAGGCCCTTTGCCAGGGCAACTTGTTTAATTCCCAGGCATGTTTTTATTCTGAACTCCTTTCCCTGGACTGGCTTTTCTGTCTCATCTCTCCCCAATTCTAGCTTGGTGCCTAGCTACTATACTAGCTACTTGGCTCACAAGCAGCTGCATCTTGACTAGTTTCTTGAGCTTAAAATCTCATTATAAGAACTGTTTGGACTTGGACCCTTTGTCTTCCGTGTGCAGGATCTGCTAACTGGTCCCCCACCACAAATGTAAGAGGAAATCCCAGCCCACACACTGGTCATGCCTCAGTTTACCTCCCAGCCACTTAGCCAACTATTGCACAGCCCTAGCTAGTATGAAACAAAATTAAACAAATACTTTAAAGAGCATTTAAAAGAAAGTAATAAGTATAATTAAATGGTTAGAACATGAGTGGCAAGTATGGAGTTATTCAATTTGAATAAGACAATGTTAAAGAATGACTTACTAATGGTCTTCAAAACCCCAAAGGGATTTGAAAAGCCTTCTCAAAACTGAAACGAGAAGAGTAAGTGACTTTCTGTCTCCTAAAGACATAGGGAAAAAACAACCTTAAGAAAAAACTTAGATACGTAGGGAAAAAAGTACTAAGTGAGAGTTATTTTCCATTACACTACTGGAAACCGTCTTTGTCATGGATGATCTTTAAACTCTATTGCAGAATATAGAGCTCCTGTCCAAGACTGGCCAGCAGACAGATGACTTCATTTGTAAAAATGAGAATTCATATTAAATTATCTCTAAAGTTCCTTCCAGCTCTAACATTCCATGATTGCATAATTTTCATTTCTCTGCAAAAAAATCAAGGCAATTCCAACATGACGCTGTGAGATGAAAGGGAGTAGTACTGGACTAGATTCAGTGTACAAAGATCTTTCCAACACTTTGACTCCCTGAATGATGTAAGATTATCAATGCTACAAGAAATGGTGGAAAAATTCAAAAGACAGTAATGAATGTTAAACAGATAAGAAATTTAAGATAGAAATTACTGAAAAACTATTATTTACAAAACCCTACACAGGGGGAAAAAAAAAAAAGCAGGTTCCTAAACATTTTCTCCACCAAAATGGGTAGGACTACATATTGGATAATTTGTTTCTACTTGGATTATGTCATCAGGCTGGTTTAACTGCTGTTAATAACTAGTACATCTCAGTCATCTCTCACTTTCTCCCACATAAGAGCCAATCAGCCTTTCAATGACCTACTTCATGAGTCATAATTTTTTCTGTTCATGATTCAGAAAAGTGTCTTCAGACAGCATTTCCCAGACTTCTGCGGGTTTATTCCAAGGACCAATTTCATCTTCATTGGTTTCCTACAGGAAACCAGACCAACTTCCTATTATTTTATTTTCCTTACTTTCAGCATACCAAAGCCCACATCAAATTAACTGGAAGTGAGAGTGATAGAAGACTTTACTCTGCACAAAGAGAAGCCAACACAAACAATGCCCGATGACAGTCTGGAAGTCACGGCGTAAAATTCAATACATAATGTGCTAATATTAGAACCATCTTTCAAAAGAGCATCAAAGTAAATCATAATAAGGAGATACTGATTTAAATTAGCCTTACTGCAAGCATTACACTGTCAGAAAGAACTTCTATTCCATTAAAAAAAAAAAATCTGTTGTCTACGAAAACAAAGCTGATTAATACAGAGAAAGTAACTGTAAGGAACAAAATATGTCTTTTCCATCCTAATCCTCTGACAGCCTGCTAGGACAGAGGCAGCTCAGTGAAACCCAAAGCCCCGAGCCCTGGAGTGATCAGGGGACAGAGTGGTATACCCCAGCAAGCAGGCAGAAGAGCAGTCTGTTGTCATCCCAACCCCTCCCACTCGACCCTTCCCATTACCAAAAATCAGTCTGTTCTTAGTTCATAAGGAATGGTAAGGAACTTGAAAGCACACTATTTCTCTAAAGCACCAGGAGTTCCTGAGAATCATTTATTCTCCCAGACTATAGACCGCTCAGAATATGAAGATCTCTGGTATAAACATACAGTGATTCACTTTATATTCTTTCCATTCTCATCATTCCTGACTGTGGGTGTCATTTCAGGCTTTAAAGGCTCATATGGTCATTAACTGGCAAGTACCAGAACTATTCTGTATCAAATTCAAAAGCTGATAGATTAAAGGAAGAAACTCCACGAAGAATGCATTGACGGAGGCATATTACATATGGATAAGCCAGGAAACCTGAAACATGACAGCCTGGGTCCTCAAAGTGTGGTCCCCAGACCAGCATCAGCATCACCTGAACACATCCCAGAGATACAAGTTCTAAGGCTCCACCCTAGACCTGAGGAGTCAGAAATTCAGGGGGTGGGGGGCGGCAACCTGCAGGTGGTGCTGGCGTAAGAGTTATCTATCATATTCTCTCTCTTCCTTCCACCAGGAAATTTCTAGAAAATAATTCACTCGATTTACATTTCCCACTAACCACTAAACTTCTCATACCCCTGCACACTGGCTAACTCCTTCTATCACATCACTAAAATGCTCCTTTTAAAAGTCACAAATGACCTCTAATCGAACTACCAAAGCCTCTTCCTGGTCCACATCCCTCTCGACCGATTTGAAGTATCCAGCACTGTTGACACTCCTCCTGCTTGAAATGGCCCAATGTCTTGACGTGACACAAATCCAACCTCCTGCCTCTCCACTTCTGGCTCTTCTCTCATGAGTGATTACCTGTCCTCCCCCTACCCTCTAAATACAGGTGTGTCATTCTCTGTCACCTCGGCATCAGATACACCCAGGGCTAGACTTGCATCTCTCTACCCCAGATATCTCTCAAGTGTCTGTGACAGTGCACTCTAAAACTGAGGTGCTTGAATCAATTATAAAAGATCAAAAGGGCACCATTTGCCCAAAAGCAAAGATGAGAAGGCAGGAAAGGGTAGAAAATCAGTACAAAAGGAAACGGGGAACTCAGGGTGGAAACGGGGAGAGTCCTGACACATTGTGGGGAATGAAGCCAAGGCCATGAAACACTTTATGTTCAAACTATAGAATGGGAATCTAATTTGCTCTATAAGCTTTCGCCTAGTGCACAATTAAAAAAAAAAAACAAAACTGAGGTGCTTGACATAACTAAAATGGCTGACAACACAGGTCTGAATCAGACTCCATTTTGTCTGAGGCCCCTGCTTCTGGTTTTTACAGTACATGACCCAGGACCACACTTGTTCTGCAACATGCTAAGGTGGCCCACCCAAAATGGTCCAGGAAACAGAAGGAACCAGCTCTGGAATGCAGGAAACTGTAGCTAAGGCTAGTACCCTGGCCAGTAGAAATTCTTGATAAACGAGTCTTACGAGAACATGCTCAATGTCAACCAATCAAATGTAGCCCCATACCCTTCCCAACTATGTACAAAATTCTGCAAAACTGAGTATAAAAGATGTACACTTATGCTCCCTCTTTGGAATGCCATTTTGAACTTTCATTTTCATGCTTCCAGTTTGCAAATCTTTGAACCTAAATAACACTCTTCTTTAATTTTTCAGAAATTCTGTTTCATTTTTAACAATTAGTTGGTGTCAGAAGCAAGACTGAAGCTACCAGCCTACGGCCTTGAAGCCCTCATAGATGCAGGTGAAGGATCCCACTGAGCCCTTCTAGGCTCTGCACCTCCACGAGGAACCGTGGAAGCTATTTGGTGAGTCCTCTTAGATCTTGAGCTCCTTCTCGTTTCTTTGCAGCTCAGCTCTGTTTTATTCAGATTTTGGTTTTTGTCTGCAGACGTTTGTCTCTGTCTTTTTGCATGGTCATGGGTTCCACCTAATCTTAACCTACAGATTTCTCTAGCAGATCTCCTGCTACATGTCGAAGACTTACAGGCTTTGGGCATTTGTATTTAGAACTCTGGCATGCCCTGGCCAAAGACAGTTTGTCTGACCAGTTTCACTTTTGGGTTCGTTTGAACTGGGTAGTTTTTAACAGTTATTTGCTTTTATTTCTAAGTTCCACTAACAATCCTGATTGGCCAAGTATAGAAATAGAACCCACCTCACTTCTTACTTCAGATTCACTCACTCGTGTGAGCAGAGGACATGGCAACAAACGCTGGAATTAAGCAGAATCCTGGAACCCTGGGGATGGGGTCTCAGGTTTACTGTTGTACAATACAGAAAGGAAAACTAAAGACAAGTAGATGGGCCACCAGAGAATATGGACAAAGGGAAAGAAAACCAATATTAGCTGCATCATATTGAGGAGAAAAGAGGTTAAAAAGAGCTTTTCTTTTCAGTGGCTTTTATTGCTCACAATAAAAAGTAAATTCAGCTAATTTCAGCAGATTATTGGGACTGAAAAAAATGTTATTCTGTCAGGCAGTAATATAACTACTACTAAAAATTAATATTTAAAATAGATGTTTTACTGAGGTACATCTTCTAACATTTTAACAAAACACTCATAATGTGATTTGAAATGGCAGAAAGCACATCCATGAGGGGGTCACAACTGCAGGATCAACCTGAAATAAATGAATACTGCTATTTTAATGTCAGCAGTAAGATGTAATTATATTGTTCAATAACAGACAATATATTTTCTAAAAACTTTATTAGAATTTCTGTCAGGATGCACTAATATCCAAACTAATACTGATAAGGAAACTTGGGGACTGATACCAGTGGCTGTATTATTGCATTAAGAAGCAACAGACAACAGCAAAACATGAACACCCCAGGAAAGCAACCAACATACTGCAATCGTGAGAGTGGCTTACTTTGACGTGGCTCTGGGCACCCAGGTTGTAGATTTCAGTGGGCTTCACTTCATTGATGATCTTCACAAGGCAGGTACTGTCTGTAAGGTCACCATAGTGCAGCTTCATGTCTTAGGATACAAAAATACACCGTGAGATAGAATAAAACAACAAAAGCTCAACTCGTAAAGCATCAAAATTGAAATGCATATGTTGAAAGTTTGAAAACCAGGGTCAAAACTGAAATGTTATATTTGATGACTCTGGAGCAGCAGAGTATAACTGTCATCTTTAAAGAACCTAAGCAGCAGTAGAAAGACATTTACACATTTGGCCTATGTCTGTAAAGGATTTATAGTGGTGAACTCAGATAACTTTTCATAACATTGTAACATTATTATGCTGGATATTATATAATTAATATATCACATGGTTCTCTGGTGGATGTAAAATGTGTTTATGAGAGTGAGCTTAAGAAGTCAGACAAGGACAATCTTGTAACAATGTGCATACTCTCCAAAGAAATCTGTAACACAGTGATAATACTGAAGATAGTTCTGTATTTGCTCAGATACTTCTATCTAGTGATTTTTAAGTGCTTTATAAACATCAAGACTTAAAAGTCTTCCATGAAATGCCTGTTACAGTGGCATAATTCATTAAAGGACAGCTAGTTTACACTGACTCCTAAATCTAAGCAGAAATTTACACTGACTTCATTAGTATAAGAATATGACACATACAGATGGATGACTGGCCACCTTTATCTTTGCATTATTTTTACATAATATTGATTTACAGCTAGATCCAGTAGCAGTACTATTCTGCACTTTGCACAAAAACAATAATAATTTTCAAGGAGGATGCAGTTACTAATTTAAATACTAAGGTGCAAAGCCTTTTCTGTGCACAACTAGACCATTTTCCTGATGGTATCTCCACTTGTACAAGTAACCTAAATCTTCAAATATTCAGAGGCCCTGAGGTGAACACAAAATCACTCATGATGTATAAGACAGTTATACCGTGCTTGCTAGATGAAAACCAGAAGAATGCTGCAGAAAAAACTTGGAGTTAGAAATACTGTGCTCTAGCCCCAGCCCTGAATTTTCTAGGTGAATGACCTTTCTGCCTCCGTTTCCTCATCTGTAAAGCAGTCTCCCTAACAACCCCAGGCGTTGCTGTGAAGATCAAAGATCAAATGCGAAAACACTGTGACTGTGCTAAGCAAACTGTATAGCTTGCTGTATTGTTGTTAGGTGTTGTTGAGTCGATTTTTGACTTATAGGGACCCCATGTGACAGAGTAGAATTGCCCCATAGGGTATTCTAGGCTGCAATCTTTGTGGAAGCAGATCACCAGGTCTTTCTTCTATGGCGTCATCGAGTGGGATCAAACCACCAACCTTTCAGTTAACAGCCAAGCGATTAACCATTGCGCCACAGGGCTCCTTAAACTGTACAGCTACATAAAGGCGATTTTATTAACAAAAATAGAAAATACTGACAATGGTCTGTAAAGCAATTTAAATGTAGTTTTGACTGTTTTTTTTTTTAAACTTGTCTCCACAAATTATTTTAAAAATTAATTAAATGTACAAATGTGACTGAATTAGACTGAATGAAAAAAGCTGAGGAATGCTCTATCAGTATGAAACTGATCTTCCTGGAGGGAACAAGGACACCTGGAGAAGGGTGATCAGAGGCGTTTCTTCTCTTGGTCTCTCTGAGTGGAATCACCTCGCCAACATCCTAGTACTAGCCCTAACCAAAATGACACCAGGGCCTAGGAGCAGCAAGCAATGAAGGGCTTTCAAAGCCTGCATACTGTCAAAGCAGATAATTCATGGGTAAATAAGAGTGACTAGATAGGCTCTAAAAAAAATGACTTCTAAAAATACCTTAACATAAGGTAGGAAGTTTTAGAAAAGGATTTGAGAAAAAGAAAATGACTTACTTCCTTCAGTATGAGCCTGGGGATTCTTATACAGATGTTCAATTCGACCTGTATTGAATGAACTGGATCGCCGGACAATTCCATGGACCTGAGGGTTCATGGTGCGCAAAGAGAAAAGTACACTGTAAGTGTGTGATGAGGATTAGCATGCAACTCAGGAGCTCTTTTGCTAATGTTTAGCCTTATGAAAAAAATATAAATATATCTTTTATTTATTAAGGGAAACATTTATTTTCAAATTATTAGACATTGTACTACTGCTTAATTTCCAATCTCCCCAGTCACTGCCATCTACCACAGAACCCTCCATCTTTCTCCCGAGTGTTTTTACTGGCAACAGTAACAAAAGCAATTAGAAAATTACGTGATTTCAGAATGAATGCTGAGTTGTAGATACTCGGATCTCTCCTTTTCCAATCACACACTCTTACAGTCCTACTGCTGACAAAAATATCTCCTCAGTTTGAAACTGAAGACAGACCACATGAGGCTGTATCGGTAAAAGCAAACGCGCTGCCGGTTTCACACATAGCATGAGGATGTGAGGCCCTGATGCCAACACAACTTTTCCAGTGCCCACAGTGCTATGGCCTCTCAAACCTATTCTAGATATTTCTGCATCTGCAGTTGCTATTATGCAGCATGTGGAAAAGCCAGAAAGTTAAATAGCATAGGTTAGGGACAAGATTCACGTACTACTGGATTTAAGGCATTAAGAAAATTCAAATGAAGAGGATTTTTTTTTTTAATTTTTATCTTTGACTTAACCATGATAAGTATGAGAGAAAAAGTAGTTAAAACAAGAAGGCATACCTGTCAGATATTAAAGAAAAGACTGTTTGTGTCTGATACATAAAAGAAATTGTTCAAGACCCAATCCCACTTCCTCCTTGTGTCAGGACTGCCAAGGTTAATACCAGCTGTGTCACCAGATGTCCAAGTGCCCGTTCCACTGATGGCAGTTTTAATCCTTGACTTATTTTAAAACGTTCCTTCTAAGGTTGGACAGATTCATTTGTAGCTGAATACACTTCTATATTTTAACTCAATCATTTTCCATTTATTTCAAACCAAAATTAATTCTCGGCATGACTCAAATATTCCAAATGCAAGGGGGAAACTATAAGCACATAAGACCTTCTTTTTTTGTTGTTTGTTTATTTGTAATTTATTTTATATATTCTTTTTCTGTTTTTTATTTTTTTTTTTAATTGTACTTCAGGTGAAGGCTTACTGAACAAATAGTTTCTCATGAAACAGTGGTACACATATTGTTTTATGACATTGGTTAACAACCCAAGACCTTCTTTTTAAATAGAAAGAAATGTCATCATCATTTTATATGGCAAACATGAGAAACTGATTTATGCAAAGGATACAACATACTCACATTTAAACCATAATTACTAATTCTATTGGTTAAGTTGCCTTAGCCAACGAGAAAAGCACTCATTGATACTGTTATCCAAAAGAACTAATCTCAAGAAAATTTGGTAAATATGAAAATATTTTAAGCAGGGAACATCAGAAATTTGGTTGACATTTTGGAAGTCAAACATTATAATCTAGGAAACATTAAATTGAGCTCAGCTATAGATATTTATTTCTTAATTTAGAACTGGAGAAAATAACACTTATATTAACCTTAGAATTTATTCTCCTTTATGGTCTTCAATTTTTCAAGTTGCTACTTAATTGTCAGGTTAAGCTGCCCTACAAACTTAATAATTTTTTTTATAAAAAGCAAGTTCACGTACATATTTATATATAACAAAATTGGCGTTTACCACCAAAATTATTTCTGAAATACCAATTTCTCGGATATAAGTAGAGGAATTTCCACATTCTAAAAACAGAGAATTTAACTTTGACAACAAAAATAGTAATAATAATAATTTGCTCTATGCTATCTTCTCTTGATTGCTGGATTCTCGATATTCTCAAGTATTCCAATAGCCCAAACCATAGAGAAATGAGTATACATATACACTGCACATAAACATGAAAGGCTGTGATAAAATCATTACATGAGCTTGATGAAAATTAGACTACACAAACTTATAGCAAATATAACATAGGGTTTCACTATCATATTGATAACCAAAAGCATTAAGAACTAGTGTTTTGTTTTGTTTTTTTAATTCCAAAAAAAGAAAATATGTTTTAATTTCCCCTCACTCCCAATTTTTGGTATGTGTATACAAGGGAACAAAAAACCTGGGAAATGCTTAATCGACGGCAGCAAGTATTATTCTAAGAACTAATGAAAGCCAGATCTGTCTGACTAAAACAGGTAAAATACAAACTTTAAGATAAGCCAAAATGTGTGCAAACTGGATAATCTAGTTAAGAATTTGAGACTAGCAGCTTTCTCATTACAGACGGGATGTATGTAGGGTTGTTCGTATAAGGATTTTGGGAGGAAAAGAGACATTAGGAAACCAAAGCAAAAAGATAAATGACTGAATTTGACTTTATATAAACTTAATCAAAATCTGTATTAAATTACAGCACTTCAAAAATAAAATAGAATTCTGAAAAACCGAGGTATTAATACATGGAAGTGTGTGTTTTGACAAACAAATTTCACGTTCCATTAACGAGAGGACGAAAGGGGAAGTTCTGTCTAGTGTCAGAACCAAGTTGTTCAACTTCAAAAGCTAGAGTCAGACTAGGCAATATAACAGGGAAATGTTTTATTATTTATTTATTCCAATCAACACAATGGAAAATTATTCCCTCTAGATGTCAATTCTGCAGTGTCTAAATTTCTGTTGGAGGCAAGAGTGTCTCTCAAGATTTCAAAAAGAAAAAAAAATTGATTATTCAGGTAGTATCAACAGCTAACATTTCCATGACAGTGCTCACATGCCAGATGCCGATCTTTATATATATTAAACCATCCAATCTGCACTACAACATTCCTATTATCGTTCCCATTCTACAGACAAGACACTGGCCTAAGATTACACAGTCAGGAAGTGGCAATGCTGAAGGTAAACTGGCTCAAACCTCCTGACACTAAGTATAATTTCAAAACCAAAACTTTAAAAAGATTTTCCTTTTTAAATTAAAGCACCAGGGCATCTGGGATATCCAACGACCTGGAAAAAAATGTCACCCAAAGCCTTCAAGAAGTCTCCCAGATCAGGAAACGACGCATTGGAACTCCACTTTCTAACAAGTCATTTCCAATAGATAGCAATCTGACAATCCTTATATCCCATTTCTTTTCCATTTCCCTAGGTTCCACCAAAGGTGGTGGTTATCGCCAATTAGCCATTTCAGGAAGTAGAATATGAACAAGAACCAATGGTACTGAAGGAAGAAGCCCAAGCTGCAGTGAAGGTAATGGCGAAAAACAAGGCTTCAGGAATTGACAATGTTTCAACAAACCGATGCAGCACTGGAGGTGCTCATTTGTCTATGCCAAGAAATTTGGAAAACAGCTACCTGGGCAACTGACTGGAAGAGATCCATACTTATGCCCATTCCAAAGAAACGTGATCCAACAGAATGCAGAAATTATCGAACAATATGATTAATATCATATGCAAGTAAAATTTTGCTGAAGATCATTCAAAAACAGTTGCAGTAATAAGCCAACAGGGAACTGACAGAAATTCAAGACGGATTCAGAGAAGGACATGGAAAAAGAGATATTATTGCTGATGTTACATGGATCTTGGTTGAAAGTAAAGAATACCAGAAAGATGTTTACCTGTGTTTTATGACTATGCAAAGGCATTTGACTGTGTGGATCATAATAAATTATGGATTTCACTGTGAAGAATGGAATTCCAGAACACTTAATTGTGCTCATGCGGAACCTCTACGTAGACCAGGAGGTAGCTATTAGAATAGAACAAGGGGATACTGCATGGTTTAAAATCAGGAAAGGTGTGCGTCAGGGTCATATCCTTTCACCATACTTTTTCAATCGGTATCCTGAGCAAATATTCCGAGAAGCTGGACTATATGAAGAACATGGCAGCAGGGTTGGAGGAAGACTCAATAACTTGTGATATGCAGATGACACAACCTTGCTTGCTGAAAGTGAAGAGGACTTGAAGCACTTACTGATGAAAATCAAAGACTACAGCCTTCAATATGGATTACACCTCAACATAAAGAAGACAAAACTCCGTAACTGAACCAATAAGCAACATCATGATAAATGGAGAAAATACTGAAGTTGTCAAGGATTTCATTTTACTTGGATCCACAATCAACATCCATAGAAGCAGCAGTCAAGAAATCAAACGTCATATTGCATTGGGCAAATCTGCTGCAAAAGATCTCTTTAAAAGTGTTTAAAAGCAAAGATGTCACTTTGAGAATTAAAGTGTACCTTACCCAAGCCATGGTATTTTCAATCGCCTCATATACATGCAAAAGCTGGACAATGAATAAGGAAGACTGAAGAATTGATGCCTTTTGATTATGGTGTTAGGGAAGAATATTGAATATACCATGAACTGCCAAAAGAACGAACAAATCTGTCTTGGAAGAAGTACAGCCAGAATGCTCCTTAGAAGTGAGGATGGCGAGATTTCATCTCATGTACTTTGAACATGTCATCAGGAAGGACAGTCCCTGGAGAAGGATATCATGCTTGGTCAAGTAGAGGGTTAGCAAACGAGAAGACCCTCAATAAGACAAACTGACACAGTGGCTGCAACAATGGGCTCAAACATAGCAACAATTGTGAAGATCGTGCAGGACTGGGCAGTGTTTCATTCTGTTGTAGGTAGGGTTGCTGAGAGTCGGAACCAACTTGATGGCACCTAACAACAACAACAGTATCCTTTCCTGGAAGGAAAGCTCACAATTTACCTATTCTTTACTTCAAATTCTGATATGCTGTGGTATGCTTGTTACCAAGTTGTTTAATACAGGTTATATAAAACCAAAAAACCAAAGTCATTGCCATCAAGTTGATTACAACACATAGTGACTCTAGGACAGAGTAGAACTGCCCCATAAGGTTTCCAAGGCTGTATATCGTTACAGAAGCAGACTGCCACATCTTTCTCCTGCTGAGCGACTAGTAAGTTCAAACCACCAACCTCTCGGTTAGCAGCCAAG